GGTATTCTAGAGAAAAACTGAGCGAGACACCAACTCTCATTTTCCTGTTTTGCGCTTCTTTCCACGCCCCCCAGCTCTGGGAAGCGTACACGGCTTCCCAGGCTCAAGTATTGGGCACGAGCGGAACAAACGGATGTAACCATGCAATGCCGAATTAGGGAGTGTCATCTCGGACAGCTGAGCTAGCCCATCGTTCAAGTAAATACGGGCCGTTTCCGCGGCTGCCCAACGTCCCTGGACCAGCAAGCGATCGAAAGATCCGTGGTGGTTAAAGAAGAATGTGGCCCCACCTCGCCTGAGGCTGTAAGGGCGGAATTCCAAGTGGGTCAGTCGTAGGCCTTCTATGGCTTGGGAAAACCAGCTACGCCACTGGTGCGGTTTCGGAGTTAAAAATTCGGAGGGTCGTGCAGACTGTTTCCAACGAAAAAGACTGGGAAGTACAGAGTCCTCATGCAATGTCACACTTTCCGCAGCTCCTTGGCGTGCTCCCGCTTTTGTAAGCCCGAGTGAAAGCACGGCGGGCCCCTTGGGAGAAGGAAGAAAGACATCCCGCGCTCGCAAAGTGAGCAGCTCTCCCGTGCGAAGTAACCCAAAGAAGGCCACGCGCAACGACAAGGCTATGAGCGGCTGCTCCTTCATGAGAAACCAGCCGCAAAGTGCATCCAGCACTGTCAGGGTCATTGGAGGCGCGCGGTTTGGGATTTCGGCGGTTGACCATGCTTTCAACAACCGCCAGCTGCCCGTGAGGCGTCGCTTCAAACCTGGTTCTTTATCTTGCAGAGCTGCCAAGGTGTTATTGGCGACCGACTTGCTTTCACCAGCAGCCCACAAGAACTCCAAGTAGTCAGATACAACACTATCTAGGGCCTGAGCACGCTTTGGGAGGACAAGCCCCTCCCCTGCCAACCAATCAATGAATTTGTCAAGACATGTCTGATAACGTTCACGAGTCCGAGGCTGAACGGTCAACCCCTTCAAAGTCCCCAGTTGTTTCCTCACTTTCATGCGCTGTTGTTGATTACGGCCCTCGATCACTTTTGCACCTTTCTTACCCATTTCCGCTGGACGGGCCGCCGGGACGGCCGATCTGCTGGGTTTTGGTGCGTGTCCACATAGGACCAAGCACCAACAGAGCCGCTTGCCAACAACAGTGCACTTATCTTTGCCAAGGTCCTCCTGAGTTTCCGGCTTGAAGATCTACCTCTCGACAAAGCATGCAGAACAACCAGAGAATCGACTAAGTGAACGAAACGGACAGGGCCTTCACGCAGCTCCCTAATCCTCCAAACCAGACTCGTCTTGACTGCCCGAAGCTCTAGGGCATTGATGTGTTCCACGTCTCCTTTCCAGCGCCACCCGATGACATCTCTCCACCTCCAAAGCTTACTCGGAAGCGACGCTCGCAGACGATGATACCTAGCAGGGACATCACTGCCCAGTTGGAGGAGAATGTCTTCCCCCTTGACAGACACCTGGCCAAGCAGTTTTCGCACCAATCCTGACCCCGGCTGTGTAACTTGACTACTGTGACGTAGAGGTGGCCGCAACAGCAAGCCGGCAAGATCCGAAGCACATCCTGGCGTCAAACGATCAAGAATCTCCTGAACTGATAGGGACGGCAACCAACCAAGCAACCGGAACAAGGAGCTCAACAACACGCAAACAACCGGCACCGACCAACTATTGCCTAGCAGTTTCAGCCGACAGTCGCTATGGCACGTACTCCCTTCAGCCGCTTTTGTCATGCACCGGCGGGTGTATCCCAGGGGAAACCCCAGGATCACCTCACGTTCTGAAATGGATGGGACACGCATTAAACCCTGGGAGTTTACCACACAATTTTCGTCCCGATATTGGTAAGGCGGAAACCTGTGAGAATCGCTCCTCCACCTGTTCAAAGCTTCCGGAGGGCAGAGCGCCAACCCCGCGGGTTTCCTTCCTGGTGTGTCCGAGGGCCTAGCCGTGGTGAACGTGGGGAAACTCCCACTAGGCTTGACACGTCTCCAGCCGGGCTCCAGATAGTCAGCATCATCCACCTGACCGTGAAGTTGGATAGTTCCCTGCACTGGGAGGCCTCTGACCCTCCCCTGAGCAACTGCAACTCCTTCCTGCGGCCCCATCTCCCAGTCCATCCAATAAAGACGCGGTCGACGAGCCAAGGAAATGCCATGAGCATCTACCACCCAAGGTTCCATCCCATACTCCCGATTCATCGCCAAGCAATCAACCTTATCCATGGAGGCGACATTCTCAATCAAACGGTGTAATGGGCACCACTTGAAAACCTGCCGCGCCATTTGTTCGATCCTTGGGATGTGCTGGAATAGGGAAGACCTCGCATCCTTCATAGCTCCCTTCCGGTCCACGTTCAAACCTGAGACTCCTTGGCATGGGGGTCCCGCACCCAACAGGACAAGCGACACCGACGGGAAACGCAGCCCCCAACCCCGCATCATCTCAAGATCAACCAAGCCAACGTCAGTCACCCGAATCACATCCGGGAAGTACGACTCCACAACACGAGAGGCGTGGTCATCAAGCTCCACCGAGACAAATCCAGCCACCGGTACTCTCAGGCAATCCAGAGCAACACGCAAAGCACCAATCCCATCAAACAACGAGATCACGAGAATCTGGTCGATCTCATCCGGACATAGCACGTCCCCTCGCGCCTCAGCCTGGGAGGCCGCCAACCCGTAAGGGCTAAGCCCACGGGATAC